GATTCAATAATCCGGCGAACTTCCCGGCTTCTCAGTTCTAATTCGAAGGAAAACGAAGACTTTGTACAAATTTTTCTTTAGATTTTCTTCAGTAAGAAATGTGTGGAAAAAATGTTTAACCTTCGCAGTCATAGGCGCATTCTACGTCTTCGGATCGGTGAAGATTTCTAGAAAAATAGTTACCATAAAATTCAACTTGACCTTGACTTTAAATTTCAAGGTCAACAATTTGAATTTATAATTCGCTGATGTAAATTTTGTATGTCATAAATGTTGGAAGGCCACGAATTTCCAATTCTTCCACAGTTCTTTCACCAATGAATAAAAAAGAACTTTGACCTTGAAATTTGAGATCAAGGTCAAAGTTTTATTTTATTCGTTGATCAAAGAATTGTGGAAGATATGGAAATTTGAGGCCTTCCACAGTTCTTTCATCAGCGAATAAAAAGAACTTTGACCTTGAAATTTAAGGTCAAGGGCAAATTGTCTTTTACGAACGTTCGAAGACTAAACATTTCTTTATCTCTTGTATAAGAAGAAATATTTGTACTATCGATGAGAATCGGACTTGAGTAAAAAAAAGGCCGACTTGCAAGAACCGATGGGTCGTCCGAAAATCCAATCAAAATGGAAATGCTGATCGGGGCTGGTTTCTAATAAACGGAAGCTATGGTCCGAGAGCCGCGGGTACATTGAATTTCGCGGCGGTAATTCGAAAATTACCAATCAGCAGGGCCGTGGCTTTTATTACCGAGCCACCGGTTACTCATTATCGAGATTTATGCGTTTAATATCGTCGCGCTTGTGTTAAGCAACGTAGAGACGTGAGAGAAGTAGGGGAGGGGAGAGGAGGGGAGGGTGTTAGGTATACCTGCGCTTGTGCCCATCCCCCCACGAACGTTCCGAACGCCCTGTTGCGGCCTCGAATGAAAAACAGGAAACTGAAACCCGGTAATATCGCGAAAACACGTTCGGTTCCCAGGAAAAGTAGAAACGAATAAAAAAGAAAAAGAAACAGGTTAGAGAGAACACGGAATAACGTACGAGGGCAATGAGATTGGGTTCTAAAAACCGGAAGGGAAGCTACGCGGGAACTGTAAAAAATAAAAGAAACAATGATTTAGTAAAATTAACATAGAAAGTTTATTAACGGTACGAAGGGAGAAAGTAATTTGAAGAATAAATGAGAAGAGGGGAGAAGAACAAAGAGAAATTTGCATGGGACCGGTGGAAAGCGCGGGAGGAATGAGGGGGTGGGGCGGTGGAAGTGGGGGAGGTCGGGCCAAAATTGAGAAACAGTATTAAAGAAAGCTGCACCCACTTGGGACATAAAACGAAGCCAAAGTCGGTTTGCCCCGGGAACAAGTCGACTCAAAAGTTGAAAAGGCTATTCAAATTCACGGGAAGGAGAGGGGAATAAAATAGTCCAAGTGACAGAAGTTTACAACGGGAATAAGAGGGATATTATGAATAGCAGTTACAGACGTTGCTATGTGGGGTCAAAGGCAGGGTAAGGAATAGTACGAACACAACAATGTGCATTGCTG